CCCCAAAACCCCAAAACCCCGCCTGCATAAAAATCAGATTAATGTGATTAAGAAATAAATAAATCTTAAAAATATTTTAGTAATAATGTCTTTGAACTCTTCTAGCAAACCTCATTCAGTTGGTATTTTAGAACAAATTTAATTAACTCTAGGTAATAATTTATTAGCAGAGAGGTATAACTTAGTATTCAAAAATAGTACTGGGGGAAAAAAACTCACATAGGATGCTTTGTATGTTTGTCAACTCCTCGCAATACACCCAGATGATCTTATGTCAAGGTAAGATTCAGAATAAAATTGTGTGAAATTAAATTATTAACTTGTATTGCAGGGATTTTGAATCGTTTGCAGAGAAAGGTCTATCTGAAAAAAGATAGCAACTTAGGTATGAGCATTTTGAGGAGAAGAGATAGTTAAAGCTTAAGGCGATTCAAAATGTACTACTCAAATGTTAGGGTAGAGGAGATAACACTCAGGAGGGTTTTTAAGTGCAAGCTTTGATAGAGGACATAAAGAGGCAGCGGTCTGGGACTAATCCCAGGAATAATCAATCTCAATACTCACCATTTAAGACCTAGAAAAATTACAATAGCAGTGTGTTCTCGCTTGGTGAGAGCTAGTTTGACAAGTCCTAGCAACTTGAATCAAGTAAGTAGCAAGGAATTCGACCTTTGTTATTATTGAAATGGTGTATGAATCATTATTTAGATGCAGCGAAATAGATGGAAAGAGTCATGAATAAACTAGATAAATGGAATAAGATGAAAGAGTTATCAGAGAAAAAGCGACTGCAAAATGAGGATAGGGCGAAGAAAATACTCTAAAATGAGAAGAAAAAGTTTGATATGATAGAAAAGAACTAAAAGGAGAGGATAGAGGATTTGAGAGCTAGACTTGTCTACAAAAGACAGAAGTGGGAAGGGAAAGTTAATTATGTCATAGATATTGAAAAAAAAGAGGAGTAAAAGAAACTTAATAGGACGAAGGAGTTAATTAATGACACACTTTAATTCTTTGAAAATAAGATGAAAAAGGAGAGATCATTTTATGAGAAGATAAGTAAGCCTGACATAAGCAACTTATCTATGAACATAGGAAGTAATTAGATGAACTCTCAAAGAAATCTAAACACCTCAATAGACAATGAAGATTACTATCCAGAGCAAGAGCTCTAAAGGCTTTAAGATAAATTGCGCAAAGCTGAAGAAAGACAGCATTAAAAGCAGTAAAACATAAGAAATAGAGGGCAAAACCACTCTTTATTAGTCTAAGAGCGCAAGACAATACAAGAGGGCAAGAATAAGCAACTCTAAGACGAATTACTTTCCAAGTCTGTTAGGAAAGCTCTGAGGACTAAATCTAAATAAGATTCAAGGATTAAGGAGATAAATAGAGCGGCATTATAGCTGTCAAACATTCATAAATAAAAAGAAGAAAAGTTAAGAAGGCAATAAGATGATGAAAGAAGGCAGTTATAAGAGTAGTTAAAAATGCTAGATAGAAAATAAGAAAATAAGGAGCTGATTTTGAAATAAAAACGGGATAACTTACAAGACTAGATATCTGGTAAAAAGGAGAAGAGAAAGCTTTAGTTCCAAGACAAAGAGGAGAATGAAAGGAGAATGAAGATGATGCAGCTTGAATAAAAACTTTTAATAGTTGAAAAGCATAAGGAAAAAGAAAAGAAGATCATTGAGATGAAGAGCTAATGGTTTAGCTAAACCTCTTAAGCCGCTCTCTGATTGATTTTATAAAGATATATAGCTTTTCTATTTACAGTTAATTTTGAGATCATGGGGTTTTGGGGTTTTGGGG